CTGTGACGACCGCTGTCGTAGGTGAAGCAGGAAGCATCAGCAGTTGAGTAGTCCAGCCACCACGACGCCCTATACTTCAATTTGGCCGAATTGAGTACAGAGAAGCGTCTTGACAAGGTGGCAGCTGGGTTCAGAATGATGCTCACACCGACGACTCGCGCGTCCTTCTCGAAATAACCAATGAGAGGAAGGCATACAGCGGCCTACCCCTCTCATCCAATCAGCGACGGTGTAGCATAGCCCCTAGGGCAACTCCAAGATGGCCGACCAACATGGCGGCTCAAGATGTTTACTAAGATGGCGGCTGTTTCCATGACAACGACTCAAGTGGCCAGCGAGCACGGGAGGCCCACAGCTCACCCACGCCGGCGGCCTAGCTGTTCCCGCGCAAAGTTGTCTGGCTCCAAGCTACACAAGGAGATGATGCTATCAGCTCTAGCACTGTCCACAGACATGTTACTCCGGCCAGGGTAACATTTCTGGACTGCTGATGACTGGGGCTCTCACATGAGCCCAAACACTAGATGTTTCGGTTGCTGGTTACCAAACTTAAGTCCGCCCACTTAACAAGTGCACTTAACAAGTGTACTGGCTCCCACAGGCATAAGAGCACTATTGTAAGTGAGCTGGTGAACCATCCCCTCACAATATCACTGTATAGTTTGAGCACATCGTAAACCAGCCTCATTATGATCATACTGGTGAATGCGTGGTCATAACAGCATCCAAGAGAGAATCAAGGAGAAAGGAAACCTCAATAGGAGGGACAGGTGATCCTCCCACTTAAAAGGGAGGGGAAGGCAGGGATAGTGTCGGAGTCAAAAGGTGAGGAATACATCGAAGCCTTCTTACTCGCCGGGGAAGAAAAAGGGGAGGAGCCAGGATTACGCTTCTGACGTAGTGAGACAGACGTACCATCAGCAATATACTGGGCGACCATCTCGACAGTTTCAACAGGAGAAGGAGAACGGGAACTGTCAACATGACAAACGCTGGGAGAAGGATGGACAATGACTTGAACAGACTGGCAGTGAGGAGGACCAAGAGACAGAGGAGAATCCTGAAAATAAGGATTGGGGCAAGAGGGGAAGGAAAGCACAGGAGACAAGAAAGACTGAGAGGTAAGGAAGGAAGGATCATCAAATGGAGAACCAGGAGGACACTCTGGCCCAGAACACAATGGAGCAGACAGGGCAGACGAGGTGGTGGTGGAGGTGTTGGCGTCCAAGGCCTCAAAACTGTTGTGAAACTGAGAAAACGAGAGAGAGCGAGAAGAAGGGGAACGCAACAAACGAGCATAACACATGCCAGAGAAAGAAGAAAGATTGTGAACCAGGTGCCTAGCCTCAAGAAAATACAAATGATCATGACTCTTCAAATTGAGGGTGGCTTCCTCAAATTTGTAATGCACACATGCGCGGGAGAAGGCAGGGTGGGCGCCACCACAATTGATGCAAAGAGTTTGGGAAGAGGGGCACTCTGTCTTAGAATGTCCCGAGGTTTCACACAAGGGGCAGAGAGACACCTCACTTGTGCACTTGAAGGGGCCATGCCCAAATCTCCAGTACCTGCTGCTGAGGCGAGGAGAGGGGATGTATTCCTGAACGGAGCATCTGGCACCAGCAAGAATGACTGAGAGAGAAGGGTCCTACTATCAAACGTGACCTTTACAACGCGAAGAGACTGATGGTGACGACCACGAGTGGGGTAGAGTGAAGGTATCCACCAAGAGGATAGAATGGCCTTGGGCCTCAAGGATATACTTAATATCCTCGTGGCATTCTTTAAGTACCCTGTCACCAGTCGCAACATGATGCAGAAGAATTGTGCCAATGCTGGCATTCAACCGGACATTTTTGAAAATCCGAACAGGGGGGGTCTCCCCAATGCGGGACAACATAGACAAGTGGGCAGCCGCTTCCTGAGAAGGTGCAACAACAACATGGGTACCAGTACGGGTGAGGTTAAAGGTGACCATCGTATTCACCGAATCAACAAGGTGCTTATGGGAGAAATCGATCATCAGGACGAGTTGGGTCAACATGACAAAGATCACAATACTTAGTTAATGTAGCAGGGCCAAACAAAGCCAGGAAATAAGGAGATTGGGAAGGAATCGAGCGAGTGCGGAGGTGACGAAGCCGAGCACCCCCAGTAAGAGACGGGGTAAAAGGCACAATTGTGACAACTAGAGATGGAACCACGCCAGGTGATGAGGTCGTCACCACAGGGGGCTTGTGGCTCAAGCTCTGCTCCCCTTCCACAGAGGTGGGAGGGAAGCAGAGAGAGAGAAAGAGTCTGAGAAGGAACATGGCCAGGACCCAATGTAGTGGGGGCCTACAGAGCCAGGTCTTCCAGCACAGTCAGACTCAAGAGCCTGGTCGCCTACCCCACGAGTCCGAGAAGGTAAAGCAGGGTCAGAAAAAGGCATAAAAACGAACAGAAACAAAATTTACCCACGAACAAGCTCCCATACCCACCATGGAGCCACAATTAGAGGATAGGACACCCGACAAGATTGGGTCCCTCCAGGGGTGCATCGTGGGTATTCACCCCTGCAATCGCCACCTAAATTAAGAACAGTCAGCCCGTCGAGATCTGGTTCAGTAACGAAGGCAAGGATTGACAATAAAATCTTCTGCTCGCTCGAAATGTCGGGTACCACAGTTTTACGGGTGAGAGAGAGTGATTCCCCAAACATCCAGAGTCAAAACAGAAGAAAACATTGGAAAAACAATCAAGAAAGGCAAAAAGTCAGCAAGAGGTAACAATCAGAAAGGAGAAGAAGGGCGAGGAAAAACTTAAGGAAGAGGAAAAAGCCATCCAGCACAATTTGTGAAGACGGCAGAAGGAGCCTATATGTAAGGTATATGTAAGGCTTCAAAAGGCCAGAGGACTGACCCATGGAGCATCACACCCGGGCAGCCGCCCACCGAGCACACTCACGATGACAACGGGCTGGAAAGGGAGTCGGACAAGAGTCAAAAGACTTCTGCTCCTGCACCCATCTGTGTAAAACGAAAAATATAAGTTCCAGGGAAACATTTCTAAACTATTCTCAATGGGTGCAGGCTGACATTGTTGGCTGGATCTGCTAGTTCCTGCTGTCATTCTTTAGTTCCTGCTGTCATTCTTATGCTCTCTTCACATACTTCCAAGTTCTCTTCTCATCATACCTTTTAGATTTACGTTTGACACCACAAGAATATGTTCAACATTAGCAGTACTGCAAGCTCAGGGAAGATACCAATTTCATGTTGTAGACGACCATCGAGGTGGGAGCACCAGCAGGAAGTGGCACCACATTATGATCGCGGCAGGTATTTCATCACATAACTTTATGGTTGTTTTGAGCTATACGTATTCATATTTATCTGAAGGTCAATAACACACTAGTGACCTTTATAAGGACAGGAAGCCGGCGGCTTGTCAGAGGTCCCCATCATTTGTCCTGATAATTGTATTACTTGGATTTTAAAATTTAACAGAGTTTTGGCGCTTACGGCTTCGGTGGGTGGTTTCATGTGTTTATAACCCTGAGAGTGAAAAGCATCTCCTGTTCTCATTCTTACATTGTGGCTTGTTGAGCGTGAAACCTTTGCTCCTCGTTCGTGTACATCTGACCTTTTGACAAAATTGTCCGCATCAAAATCCTCCAAACTGTTCAATATATTAAAAGTTTCAGTGAGATCCGCCCTGTCATGCCTGGTTTGGAGTGATGTTAGCCCTGTGGCCTTTAAGCGTTCCTGATACGAGTGTTGCACTTTCTCTAGAGCAGCTATGTCCTTCTGAAGATGAGGAATCCATGCTTGCGTATGGATTCTATATATCTATAATAATCCAAATGGGGGTGCAGCAGAGGTTTATACAATTGAATTATTACCAGCTTGTCCTTAAATTACCTGCTTGATGGGGTTCTGGGGGTTCTTCTACTCCCCAAGCCCGGCCCGAGGCCAGACTTGACTTGTGAGAGTTTGGTCCACCAGGCTGTTGCTTGGAGCGACCCGCAGGGCCACATACCCACCACAGCCTGGTTGATCCGGCACTCCTGAAGGAAACAATCTAGTTTCCTCTTGAAGATGTCCACGGTTGTTCCTGTAATATTTCTGATGCTCGCTGGGAGGACGTTGAACAACCGCGGACCTCTGATGTTCATACAGTGTTCTCTGATTGTGCCCATGGCACCTCTGCTCTTCACTGGTTCTATTCTGCATTTTCTTCCATGTCGTTCACTCCAGTACGTTGTTATTTTACTGTGTAGATTTGGGACCTGGCCCTCCAGTATCTTCCATGTGTACATTATTTGGTATCTCTGTCGTCTCCTTTGACGACACCCGGCTCCTAGGCCCCAAGCATAAATTCAAAGGTATGCTTGATTATTCCAAGGGCTTGGTTAGTTGTGCTAACTTCGGCTCCTACCTGTTGTGCAACTTTTAGTGAGTGGTGCATTTTGACTCCAAGGTCCTTTTCTTCATCAATCAGCTGTAATGTATGACATTGATTTGGCAGTTGTGGCTTGGGTTGTTATTTCCTACTTGCAAGGTCTTGCATCTTTCTTCCTTTTTGGAAAACAGGGGTGACGTTTGCATATTTCCAATCTATGATAACTATCCCCTGCCAAAGATTTTCTGAAAAGAAGTTTGAGAGGTAGACATAGTGAATTTGCCAAGTTCCTTTACAACTTTAGATGAAATTCCATCTGCACCAGAGGCTTTTGAGTCTTTAAGTTTGTCAATGTTCTTCTTAATTGTGTTATACGTTATGGGTGTAAATTTAATTAATTCGTTCTCTTCATCTCCTTCAAACATTTATGTGGGTAATGGGATGTCGTCTCATCTTTCCAATGTGAACACCGATCACCGGTATTAATATGTAGCAAATGTAAACCGATCTTGTTTAATTGTAAACCTTACCGTATGAAGATCTTCACCTGGCGACCTCTGGCAGTCCCAGCAGCAACACTCGGTGGACTGGAGGCTCAAGGGCGCCACTCCGTCAGTCCGGCGCCCACACTCCTAGTGACACCATCATGGCCGTAGTCAGTGAGAAAACTAAGTTTACCCCGCCTGATAACTTGGGCACCAAGGTAAGAAAGAGTGGGGGTGGTTATCTTGAGATGATTTCGGGGCTTAGCGTCCCCGCGGCCCGGTCCTCGACCAGGTCTCCTTTTCGTTACACTTCCCCTGGAAGCAGCTCTTGGCAGCTGTCAAACTCCCAGGTACTTATTTCCTGCTAGGTAACAAGTGCATTAGGATGAAAGAAACTCTGCCCATTTTTGTTTCTGCCTCCACCTGGCATCGAACCCGGAACCTCAGGACTACGAATCCGAAGCGCTGTCTACTCAGCTGTCGGTTCCCCTGGTGTACTGGAGAGTTTACCCAGCCTGATAACCTGGGCACCAAGGTAAGAGTTTCTCATTTAATGGGATTCCAAAATGGGATGGGATCCAGTTTAGGGTTATGTTGAGTCTTTTGCCTGTGGCTATTGCTGTAAATTACAAAATGGTTGTACTTATTTCCACGGCTTTTTTCTAATATTTAAAGTGCAGCGTATATATATAAACTTCATACAGTGCAAAAATTTACGTATGTATATGTATGTCTTTGTATATGTATATGTATATGTATATGTATATGTATATGTATATGTATATATATATATACATATACACATAACGTGGCTACATATTATATATATATATGTCGTACCTATTAGCCAGAACGCACTTATCAGCCACAAATGCATGGCCCGATTTGCCTAATAAGCCAAGTTTTCCTGAATAAATATATTTTCTCTAATTTTTTTCTTATGAAATGATAAAGCTACCCATTTCATTATGTGTGAAGTAAATTTTTTTATTGGAGTTAAAATTAACGTAGATATATGACCGAACCTAACCAACCCTACCTAACCTAACCTAACCTATCCTTATAGGTTAGGTTAGGTTAGGTAGCAGAAAAAGTTAGGTTAGGTAGGTTAGGTAGTCGAAAAACAATTAATTCATGAAAACTTGGCTTATTAGGCAAATTGGGCCTTGCATAGTAGGCTGAGAAGTGCGTTCTGGCTACTAGGTACGACATATATATATATATATATATATATATGTCGTACCTAGTAGCCAGAACTCACTTCTCAGCCTACTATTCAAGGCCCGATTTGCCTAATAAGCCAAGTTTTCCTGAATTAATATATTTACTATAATTTTTTTCTTATGAAATGATAAAGCAACCCTTTTCTCTATGTATGAGGTCAATTTTTTTTTATTGGAGTTAAAATTAACGTAGATATATGACCGAACCTAACCAACCCTACCTAACCTAACCTAACCTATATTTATAGGTAAGGTTAGGTTAGGTAGCCAAAAAAAGCTAGGTTAGGTTAGGTTAGGTAGGTTAGGTAGACGAAAAAACATTAATTCATGAAAACTTGGCTTATTAGGCAAATCAGGCCTTGAATAGTAGGCTGAGAAGTGCGTTCTGGCTATTAGGTACGACATATATATATATATATATATATATATATATGTCGTACCTAGTAGCCAGAACTCACTTTTCAGCCTACTATTCAAGACCCGATTTGCCTAATAAGCCAAGTTTTCCTGAATTAATATATTTACTATAATTTTTTTCTTATGAAATGATAAAGCAACCCTTTTCTCTATGTATGAGGTCAATTTTTTTTATTGGAGTTAAAATTAACGTAGATATATGACCGAACCTAACCAACCCTACCTAACCTAACCTAACCTATATTTATAGGTAAGGTTAGGTTCGGTAGCCAAAAAAGCTAGGTTAGGTTAGGTTAGGTAGGTTAGGTAGACGAAAAAACATTAATTCATGAAAACTTGGCTTATTAGGCAAATCGGGCCTTGAATAGTAGGCAGAGAAGTGCGTTCTGGCTATTAGGTACGACATATATATATATATATATATATATATATATATATATATATATATATATATATATATATATATATATGTCGTACCTAGTAGCCAGAACTCACTTTTCAGCCTACTATGCGAGGCCCGATTTGCCTAATAAGCCAAGTTTTACTGAATTATTATATTTTCTCTAATTTTTTTCTTATGAAATGATAAAGCTACCCATTTCATTATGTATGAGGTCAACTTTTTTTAATTGGAGTTAAAATTAACGTAGATATATGACGGAACCTAACCAACCCTACCTAACCTAACCTAACCTATCTTTATAGGTTAGGTTAGGTTAGGTAGCCGAAAACGTTAGGTTAGGTTAGGTTAGGTAGGTTAGGTTGTCGAAAAAACATTAATTCGTGAAAACTAGGCTTATTAGGCAAATCGGGCCTTGCATAGTAGGCTGAGAAGTGAGTTCTGGCTACTAGGTACGACATATATATATATATATATATATATATATATATATATATATATATATATATATATATATATATATATATATATATATATATATATATATATATATATATATATATATATATATATATATATATATATATATATATATATATATATATAACGTATATATATATATTATATATATATATATATATATATATATATATATATATATATATATATATATATATATATATATATATATATATATGTCGTACCTAATAGCCAGAACGCACTTCTCAGCCTACTATTCAAGGCCCGATTTGCCTAATAAGCCAAGTTTTCATGAATTAATGTTTTTTCGTCTACCTAACCTACCTAACCTAACCTAACCTAGCTTTTTTTGGCTACCTAACCTAACCTTACCTATAAATATAGGTTAGGTTAGGTTAGGTAGGGTTGGTTAGGTTCGGTCATATATCTACGTTAATTTTAACTCCAATAACAAAAAATTGACCTCATACATAGAGAAAAGGGTTGCTTTATCATTTCATAAGAAAAAAATTATAGTAAATATATTAATTCAGGAAAACTTGGCTTATTAGGCAAATCGGGCCTTGAATAGTAGGCTGAGAAGTGAGTTCTGGCTACTAGGTACGACATATATATATATATACGTGGCTACATATATATATATATATATATATATATATATATATATGTCGTACCTAGTAGCCAGAACTCACTTTTTGGCCTACTATTCAAGGCCCGATTTGCCTAATAAGCCAAGTTTTCCTGAATTAATATATTTTTTCTAATTTTTTTCTTATGAAATGATAAAGCTACCCATTTCATTATGTATGAGGTCAATTTTTTTATTGGAGTTAAAATTAACGTAGATATATGACCGAACCTAACCAACCCTACCTAACCTAACCTAACCTATCTTTATAGGTTAGGTTTGGTTAGGTAGCCGAAAAAGTTAGGTTAGGTTAGGTTAGGTAGGTTAGGTAGTCGAAAAACAATTAATTCATGAAAACTTGGCTTATTAGGCAAATCGGGCCTTGAATAGTAGGCCAAAAAGTGAGTTCTGGCTACTAGGTACGACATATATATATATATATATATATATATATATATATATATATATATATATATATATATATATAACGTGGCTACATATTATATATATATATATATATATATGTCGTACCTAATAGCCAGAACGCACTTCTCAGCCTACTATTCAAGGCCCGATTTGCCTAATAAGCCAAGTTTTCATGAATTAATGTTTTTTCGTCTACCTAACCTACCTAACCTAACCTAACCTAGCTTTTTTTGGCTACCTAACCTAACATTACCTATAAATATAGGTTAGGTTAGGTTAGGTAGGGTTGGTTAGGTTCGGTCATATATCTACGTTAATTTTAACTCCAATAAAAAAAAATTGACCTCATACATAGAGAAAAGGGTTGCTTTATCATTTCATAAGAAAAAAATTATAGTAAATATATTAATTCAGGAAAACTTGGCTTATTAGGCAAATCGGGCCTTGAATAGTAGGCTGAGAAGTGAGTTCTGGCTACTAGGTACGACATATATATATATATATATATATATATATATATATATATATATATATATATATATATATGTCGTACCTAGTAGCCAGAACTCACTTTTCAGCCTACAATGCAAGGCACGATTTGCCTAATAAGCCAAGTTTTCATGAATTAATATATATTCTCTAATTTTTTTCTTATGAAATGATAAAGCACCCCATTACATTATGTAAGAGGTCAATTTTTTTTTATTGGAGTTAAAATTAACGTAGATATATGACCGAACCTAACCAACCCTACCTAACCTAACCTAACCTATCTTTATAGGTTAGGTTAGGTTAGGTAGCCGAAAAAGTTAGGTTAGGTTAGGTTAGGTAGGTTAGGTAGTCGAAAAGCAATTAATTCATGAAAACTTGGCTTATTAGGCAAATCAGGCCTTGAATAGTAGGCTCAGAAGTGAGTTCTGGCTACTAGGTACGACATATATATATATATATATATATATATATATATATATTATTAAATATGACCGAAAAAGTAAGATTAATAATTCTAACACGAATTTTCTCAATCTTTCGTACATTTCTTTTCACTGTTGGAGGTAAATCAAAAATCAATTCTCCAAAATTCATTTTTATTTCTAGTCTGACGCGACACGAGCGCGTTTCGTAAAACTTATTACATTTTCAAAGACTTTAGTTTACAAATACACAACTGAATAGAACTTACGCATCTCCGATTTTATATCTACATTTCAGAGAGGTATAAATGTAGATATTTTATATCTACATTTACCCTATTAATGCCACCTCTTGTTCTGTCTTGTGTTGATGAAATTAATACCCTATTAATGCCACCTCACCCCATCCACCTCTCTCAAATGTAGATATAAAATCGGAGATGCGTAAGTTCTATTCAGTTGTGTATTTGTAAACTAAAGTCTTTGAAAATGTAATAAGTTTTACGAAACGCGCTCGTGTCGCGTCAGACTAGAAATAAAAATGAATTTTGGAGAATTGATTTTTGATTTCCCTCCAACAGTGAAAAGAAATGTACGAAAGATTGAGAAAATTCGTGTTAGAATTATTAATCTTACTTTTTCGGTCATATTTAATAATATATGTCTACAGGAAAGACTTCTACCAAAATATACTAATATATATATATATATATATATATATATGTCGTAC